TTAAACAATTCAGACTGAGGCCATTCTACATTTAAAATAGTTTACTGGGCTTTTCACCACTCATGCTGTTTAGAGAACAGACTGCCATAGATAAATGTCATTCTGTCTTTCTGTAATACGTTGCTACTGTGCATCCCCAACCGATCTGACAAGATAAATTTGCAGCTATAAACAAAAATGTCATTTTCCCTATGTCAACAATTTGTATTGATAGCATCATATTTTATGCATTAGTTTTCTACATTACTGTGCAGCAAAAGTACCACATTTAAACTGTACGTGATGAGTAGAAGAAAAATAAAATTTGGCTTTCAGGTGTAGAGAAACTGCTTTGTAATAGGTCTGGAACTCTATGTTCACATTTTCTCTATTTAAACTTGCAGAATATTAAATTCAATAAAATAACATGTTTCTTTTATTTTTTGACTCCAAATTTCCAGGATCATATTATATAATATAAATATCAGCAATTCAGGGAACTAAAGCACTATATATTCATTTAAAATACTGTAAATTTAAAAATGCAAAGGCAAGCGTATCTAGTGAAGATCAATCCAGGGTACTTAGTTCCCATAAAGACTAAACCATATAGCTAAGGCTTGATGATGAATTATTAAAGTCTGCCAGTTGCACTAGATCAGTAGCGAGCCATCTGGCTTACTCTGTTTATATCAATCTAAAAAGTGTTATTCCAAGTTTTTGGTATTTCCACAGCTCATAAGTAATGGCAGTGAGCCTACATCATAATCTAATTTCCGGGGGGATATATTATTTGATTTTTGTTTTTCATAGTAAACCAAAGTTTGAATGTTTCTTTAAAAAAAGAGAGTTTCACCGTATTGCAAAGATGATGGCCTGCATTGTTCAAGTATAGCCTTTACCATTTGTAGCCCTTTACCCCACTGACTTGTGTTGTTCCTCCACCAGTGTTGGGGGTGGGACATCAAAACAACAACTGCCCCTGCCTCGCTTTCCTCCAATTCCCTTCCTCTTTTTTCAAATTTGTTGCAAGAGGAAGATATTTAGAACATACACTTTCCTTCCCCAATCAGACACCCTGGCTGCTGTGGGAAGACAGGGCATCACCACTGTCTCCTGTCTCTTCCTTTGCCATACTCTGCTGTCTGACGGCCCCACTTCACCCCTTCCCATATCCTAACCTCGCAGAGTCCAAAGCCAGCTGGGGCTGCAACTGCTGGCTGATCCTTCCCTCGAAGCAAGTTTAAAAGTTGAAATTAAAAACTGAAGCCATGGACACAACCTTTAAACTAATGTTTAAATCTTTATGAATTTTATAATTCTCCTCTTACCAATTCTCTCTCTCTCTCTCTCTCTCTCTCTCTCTCTCTCTCTCTCTCGCCCCCTCCCTCCCTCCTTCCCTCCCTCCCTCCTTCTCTCAAATGAAGGTGAAACTCCTGAGAGCAACACTCCAGAACAATGGTTCTCCAACAGGAACAGCATCAGGGTCACCTGGAGGACTTGCTGGTCGCATGGATGGCTGGGCCTCATGACCAGGCTCATTCAGCAGGTATGGAAAGAGACCCTAGGATTTGCATTTTCACCAACTTCCCAGGTAATGCAATGCTCCAACCTTTGTGAAGAAGACGCCTGAGACACAGAACAATTGCCAAAGAGAGAGAAACCCCGGGGAAGATGCAGTTCCAGTGAGTATCACCTCCACTGCTGCATGGCTTGGGTAGTTTAGTTCTCTAATACAGGGAGGAAGCACAGTGGATATTAGTATAGGAAGGCAGTGTTAGAACACAGCAGCTGCTTGAATTATTGTGCTTCACGGCTGGCCCTTCAAGACAGTCAGAGTGAAAGTATGAAGAGATGGAAACGGAAATTATGGAAGTAAATATAATGGTCTTTTAGCCAATCAGCTCTTTCGATTCCCATTTGCATCTTGGCTGTATTTCCATTTTCTGTCTTAAATTGCCCATAGCATTTTGCAACTGGCACCGAAATCAGACAGATTTGGGTTTAGTTCCTGCCTTACTTGCTGTGTGTCCACCTGTGTTAGGAAGCTTTCTATTCCTACAGCATGTATCTGAGATGAAGTTAACTTATAAAGAGGTTTATTTTGGCTCACAGCCTGAGCAGTTTCAGTGCATGAGACGGCAATGAATGCCCACCGACTGGCCCTATATAGCAAATGCTAGTTTCCACCATAAGTATCATGTCTTCTGGCCTTCCTGTAAGACTACTCAATAGAATAAACATGCTACTTACCTATCTAGATAATCTAGATAACGTAAAGCAACACTATAGGAGAGGGCTGGGGAGATAGCTCAGTAGAATAAGCACTTGCCTGGCAAGCGGAGACCCTGAGTTCAATCCCCGGTACCG